GCGATGCAAGCACGGGCTGGAGTGCAAACTTGGGGACATCGTCACCATCAGCGCGGTCACGGCGAGCTCGCTTCTCGCGTCCATCGGCTTGCTTGGGCCGGCCAGACTCATCCTCGTGGTCCTCACGGCCTTCAGTCTCGGGAGTCTGCGAGCGCGTATTGTCCGGACGGATGATCGGCACGGCCTTCGAGCGTGTGGCGGGCTTGACGATGTCGCTTTGAGATAGGTTGACATCTCCAAAGATCTTCGAGGAGAAGCTTGTTGGGGCAGGAGCCGGCTTGTTAGGGTTGAAGGTAGACACGCCAGGGTTGAACGCGGGCGCATCTGGCTTGAAGGCTGGCGGACTGGAGAAGTTGAAGCCACCGGACGGGAATGGAGAGCTGTCTGCCGCAGGCTTGAACACAGGAGCTTCAGCCACAGGCTTGAAGGCTGGAGCATCAGGCTTGAACACGGGTGCATCCGGCTTAAAGGTAGGAGCCGACACGTTGAAGTTGGCCAATGCATCGATGCTGGGCTTGTTGTTGGCTGGGACAGCAGCAGGAGCAGCAGCTGTAGGTGGCTTAACTGTGGGTGCAAAGCTGAAGCCTGAGGAGAAGGATCCTGGCTGGAAAGACGCTGCAGGGTTGAACTTGAACTCCTTAGCCTCAACGTTGAGCTTCGAGATCGAGGAACGCGAAGCGTGCTTGCTGTGCATCGCCGATGCAGGCTTGCTGAATGCGAACTTGTTGTCCTTCCATGAGTTGCTGACCTGGGACGGTGCTTGAGAATGCTGCGCAGAGCTCTGTGTAGGGTTGCGGACCTCTCCATCTTCCAAGCTGGGGTTTGTGTTCTCGGAGATGTTCGTTTTCGCGCCGTCGCTGTCGGAGCGAGGGTTCTGCTGGGCAGGGAACGAGAAGGAGACAGGCTTCTGAGACTTGGTGAGGGAATGCGACTTGCTGTGCGGCTGCGGTTGGTGCAGGATCGTTCGCGAGTCCTCCCACGTAGGGTTAGCCACAGCATTGGAAGGCTTGTAGGATACGTTAGTCTCTGGCTCCGTACTGAAGTCACCTCCTTCCGCAAACTGCTTGTCGATGGCTTCTTCCAGGTGATACTCTTCGTTCGCCGCCTCGCGTTCAAGGTTCTCACTAAGATTATGGCGATGACTGCGAGGACGCGGTACAGCAATCTCTGGTGCAGGTTGAGTGGCATGCTTCATAGCCGGAACCTCATCCTCCTCATCTTCATCCTCAGGTACTTCGGCCAGTGTGGAGGACGGACGCAAGCCAAGGACTTGTTGTTGCTGCTGCTGTAGAAGCTGGTTCTGTAGCTGCTGCTGTTGCAGTTGCATCTGCAGTTGGAAGTCATCCCTTTGCGTCGGCGTAATGGGAAACTGCTGACCGGGTCTCATGCCAAATGGAGAGTGTGGGGAGATCATTCCGGAAAGGTCAGGCCTGCTCAGAGCAAGAGCAGGGGAGCCACTACGTCCATCTTGGGAGTTGAAGTATCCAGCAGGCGACCAAGTGCCTGAAGGTGAGTAGCCGTGTTGAGCAAAGTTGGCAGGCGACCCAAAAGTTGAATGGCGATGCATGTGCATGCTGGGACGCTGGTTTCCAAAAGCAGCTGGAGACGCGATCGATTGTCGAGACATATGTCCAGGCGAAGGTCCGAAAGGGAAACCGGCGATGCTGCCTTGCCTGGCCATGCGAAGACTGCCAGCTGAGGAGGTCGGGATCGGGGGAGTGAACCCTTGCCCTGGATGTTGCTGTGATGACGCTGTTCGCGACATGGGAAGAGGGATATCTTCCTCGCCACCGATGCTGACACCAAGTGCAGCTAGTTTAGCTTCAAGCAGAGAGTTCTCGTAGTCCTTCCACTCTGATTCCTTCGAGACGCGGACCTTGTACTGCTTGTTGGAGTTGGCGCGTTCTGCCTTGACATCCTCCTCAGCGGGCCAGATGGCACGGTTATGTGTCTCTAAGCCTCCAGTACTGAAGCCACGAGTGTCGTAGCCCTGCTGCTCGAGCTGTCGGAGCTTGTTGTTCACAGCCTCTGCAGTCATCGGCTTCGGAGGGAACCCCGGGTTGCCTCTTGGAATATCTCGCGGTATCGAGATGATGCAGCCCTTGCCCTTAACAATGACCTTCTTTCGCATCCGAGGTTGCGCAGGTGCTGCACCTGGAGGAGCCAAGAAGGACTTGCTTGGGGTGTCGGGAAGTGGCTTGTTCGACAACTCCTGGTTCGCTTTGGAGGCGTCCTTGTTCGACTGCTTGCTGGGAGTTTCATCTGCCGGCTTAGCTGTTTTTGAAGGAGTCGGTACCGGCGTCTTCTCAGCCTGGGCACTGTTTCCGTTCGTACTGGGACCTGATGCGGAGTTTTGCCTGGCTGTCACCAGCTCAGGATCCGCGTACTTTGAGGCCATCATCTTGCCGAGTGCTTCCTTCTGATCTTTACTAAAGTGGCGCCAAAAGTCCTGCTGGTTGAGAGTCTTGTTGTTGTTCCTCTGCTTGTGTCCTCGTTTCGGCGGAGGAGCAAGTGGTATATCCTGATCTCCACCTGATCCCTCTGTATCGCTGTTATTACTCCGCCAGTCGTTTGTCTCGCGGTTCCAACGCTCTTCTAAGAATCGCTCAACCCACTCTTGCGAAGTCGGGTTCGTGTCGGACGCGCGGGGAGTAGTGCCGGACGCTCGCGGTTCTTTGGTGGGAGTCACTAAGTTTGGCAGTCGAGAGCGGATTAGATGTTCGAGCGTGAACTGGTTCGGCGAGGCGTTCCGTTCGAGACGCGGTATGAGATGCTCGAGATTGAACTGGTTGGGCGACTCTTCCTGCAGATCTAGCCGGGATGGAAGCAGATGTCCGAGGCCGAATGTGAGTCCAGAATTTTCCTCTTCAAAGTCGTCGCTGCCGAAGTTGGTCGAGGCCTGACGCGACGGATTAAAGACGGGCGGCGGGTGTCTGTAGGGACTGCCCCAGCTGGCCGTGTAGTAGGAAGTGTCGGTTCGGTCGTGTCTCGCAGCGTTGGACGGGGTGCGCGGGTCGTTGCCCAGTATGGAAAAGGACGGGAGCGTAGGGAGCTCTGGGCTCGAGTTGGCTAGGGTGCGAGCCGGCGAGGGGGCCGTCCAGGTGGGTGAGACTGCTTCACGCGCCTCGGGCGGAGTCGAAGCTTCACCAAAGTGCCCGGGAGCAAATGGAGGCGATGAGGGCGGCGGCTGCGAGGACGAGGTGGACCGTCGAGCGTGCATCCAAGGGTTTCCCACGTTGGCACAACTCGACGAGCTGCAACTCTTCTTTTTCCGTCTCGGATACTGCGCGCGTCAAACAGGCGACAAATGTTCCGACGACGCTGCAGTCAGTGCTCGGGCAAAGAAACGCGCGTAGAGTTTCGCGCCGGGTCTGCAGTAGGATTACAAGGTAATATATCAAGGAAAGGCTGGGCTTGGTGGCTAAAAGAGCGACATAGGGTGGGATAGATGCACGATTCTGGAGACGACAGGACGAGCGAACATCCCGAGGCAGCAGCAACAGCGGATGAAGCAGGAAGAGAGGCAGTCGGAGGCGTGCCAGTGTCGTCGACAAAATGTGGACACGGACAGGAGAGCAGGCGAGGCTAATGTCAGCCATGCACGCTGCTAGCGCCTGATGCCAGTTGGCGTCAGGGGCCTTTCCGCCGAGGCCACATGAAAGAGCTGCAGCAACGCCATGCATCAAATACCCGACCCTCCAACAACTCGTTCGCTGGAGATCAATGTCGCCTTTACTATTACGTCTCACATCTGAGATAATCTGCAGTCTTCTTACGCCTCCGCCTGGTGCTACGACGCGTCTCCGTCACTGCTAATAACACGACATTTCGACATGACATGGGTGCCTCATTGCCGGGACTAACCCTCGCAGCCAATCGTATAACGGCACGTCATGTCTGGATGCGTCATTGGCAGCTTCCAACCACTGGACGACAGATCCTGATACCCCGCCGAAGAAGCTGCCGGACAAATCGATACTCCAACCCTGATATCTCCCGGCTACCACACGCGTCCTATAAAACTATAGCATGTTCAAAATGTCTCCTTCGACGCGACGAGCATGGTGCAGCGACATTGAGAAAGGGGACCTGACTAGTGATTAGACAACGGGAGCTAATGCTGCCCTGCAAGGATAGCGATGTCTTGACAGGCCTGTCGGGCACCCTTCTAGAAAATCCATTGTGCACCCATGTTCAGCTAGATGAAGAGGAAAAAGCAAATTCTCCCTTTTGAAGCGATTGTGTGCAAATGAATGGACGGCTGGAACATGAAGAGCTGGAATCTTTTGTCGCGTATCGAATATTACGGGCTGCACTGGCACTGTCCGCCTTCGCCAGTAGTCCCGCCCACGAAAACGACTTGTACGGAGGTGAACCTAAGTCTTTCAGCAAAAGCGTCTACATCCAACAACAGGAGACTCACGCTGCGGTGGCTGCAAATATCTCCACAGGACGAGCTGTCGTGAAGATAGCCAGAACCGCTGCGAATACTCCCGAGAAGGCTGCGACAGCCGCGATTCTGTATGGAAGATTGTTGATCATATACAGCGCAACGATAGCAGTTGACGGTATGATGGCAGAAAGTACCACATTCAGCGCTCGAGCGAAACGGTGGAGGACTTCTAGCTTGACGCGACCTATTCCTGTCTCTTCTGATCCTGCCATCGGCTCCTAGTTTGAGACGGTGAGCATAGCGGGAGAGTCGATGCATATGACACTTACTAGCATGTTCTTCCGTAAACGAGCCGGCAGATGTGGTATCAGACTCATCTCTAGCCATCGCGTGAACCTATCGTTGGAAGGTCTGCTAGAGATTGAGATTAAGTCTGAGTTCTCCGCCTCGTCGTAGGCTCGATATTCGCAGCCTTCTAAGAAGCTTCTACCTCCTTCATGATGCTGTAGCCAGACCCTAAGCCATTTCTGGTCGTTCTTGTTGGCGCGATCTAGTTTTGCAATGTTGGCTTGTTGAAGCAGACAATCGTCGTCGGAAAGGTTAGTACTCAGCCTAACAATCCAGAGCGCGGTAGATTCATACTGTAGTCTTTCAACTTCCTCCTAATCTCTAGGACTTTTTCCCATTGAGGTTTGTTCGGTGGCTTCTTCATTTCCCATACACTTCTGGCAAAGTTCTTTGTGCTGGCATCCGTACCATGTTCGTCGACGTAAGTAATAACATCCAGCTCTTGTTCGAGACAGAGAAGCTCAGCCTGCATATACAGCAGACTACGAGCATTCAGCTCGGCGAATTTCTTGAAGATTCTAAGTCCTTGGTCCAGATCCTGTCCTATGAACTTTGCAAGTCCGGGGTAGCCATCTTGGATCTGATCGAGTAACATCGCGGTCATTGTAGAAGTTCAACCGAGAGATATTGAGCCATCGAGAGCTACGGAGCTGACTGACCCCGCCTTCCTGGATTGCAGTGACGCGACTCAGCCTTGCTGCTTGCACCTGGGCAGTCAGCCGCGCAGTCAGCCAGCTTGGCACACTAGTGATACCCGCCTTCAGCCTGACGCCCTCTTAGGCTGACTTCTGCTGTTTCTTGCCATTTGAGCATTGTTAATTTACTCGAGCCTTTCCTTGATGCTGTGGAGCATTTGTGCTCAATTCTTGCAATAGAGAGCCTACCCAGGAACTACGCGTATAAGTCATCTTCGTAATCAAGAACTTCACGTTGAGAAAAGAGATCAAGTCGACATATTGACTCCTCTGTACAACCAACATCAATGGAACTCGCCAAAGATTGGGTCTTCGCGAGCGTGAACCTATGCGAGAAACCTCAATGGACCACAGGCAACTTGGAGTCCACCACGGACTGGACCTGGAGTAAGTCTTCGCGAGATTTTGATACACAATCTAATTTGAATAGAGGAACAGGCAAATTATAATACTCAGCGAGATATCGACAAAAAGAAGGCTCAGCAGACCCAGTCGACACAGGTCGCGGAGTTGATGGGACGACAGCAGCAAGTAAATATAGTATCACACGGGAATCACACACCACAGGCGCAACTATTACCGCAGATATCCCACCCACAGCAATTCCCACAACCCTGGCAAGGATATCAAGCCCCGCAACTGAATCACCAGCAGCAATTCCCACAACCCTGGCAATGGGACCAAGCGGGTCACTACTATCAACAATTCTATGACAACAATGGTATGCGTTTTCTGCCTTACCAGGACGTGTCAGTAGTTGATGTAATGAAACCAGCTCAGCAATGGTACACAGTGTGGTGGGACTACAACGAGAGCCGCGCATACCGCACCTTGAAAGACGAGTATGGTTAGTAGCCCTCCTCTTATATCAGAAGCCTAGACAGTGTAATGACGTGGATCAATAGGTCGTGAGTACAGTGCATGGGTCTAGCTCATCATCCGCTAGAGTCCGCATTTCTCATAAGCTAGAAATCCAGCATTTAGCAAACCAAACGATGCCAACTCTACACCTCACGCCTTCCCACCCATCCCATAACTATCATACGGAAACTCCTCCAAACTCCTATGCAACCTCCCCCACCCATCATCAATCTCCCCCGGCATACCAACCTTCCTCTTCCCCTCCTTGACTTCAACCTCACTCTTCTGCAACTGCTTCTCCTCATCCTCCTTGTGCTCCCCCGTCAACCCCGCCAGCACCTCCTTCTCCCTCCCCTTATACTCAACCAGCAACTCCGGATGCGGACACCACACAACCTGCATACCCGCTCTCCTCCCCGACTCAACGCCCGGCACGCTGTCTTCAAACACGAGACATTCTTCTGGTTGGATAGGTGGTTGACCTTCTGCTTCGAGGGACTTGTTGAGCGTGGAGAGGGCGAGGAGGTAGATATCTGGCGCGGGCTTCCCCCGTCCGGCAGGTATTCTTGGGTCGTCACCCAGCACCTGATGTTCCTTCTTGAAATGTGCAAACAAATCCCCCAAATGCTTACTCTTAATCTCAAAGTTGTTCTTGTTACTGCTTGTTGCGAGCGCCATGTGTACGCCTCTGGACTTCAACCCTGCAAGTAGGTCCATGACACCCGGTAGTGGCTTCGTGGTGCTGAAGATATCTTTCTGGAGTTCTTTTTGCTCGACGAGGAATTGCTCGTGGGAGATGGGGAGTTGTGCCCAGTCATGGAATATCTTGCCGGCTTGAGGCCCAGGACGTCCTTGCAGTTGTGCTTTTACGGACCAGGGGAGGGGTGGGCGGCCGTAGCGTTCGAGGATCGTGTTGGTTACTATGCTGTAGAGGTCTTCGGAGTCGATGAGGAGGCCTGGGGTGGTTGTTAGTGGAGGTGAGAATTAGAATGGTTGCGCTCTTACCGTCCATGTCGAAGAGCGCTGCGCGGATGCGGGGTGGTGGGGTTGTACTGAGGATGGTCAGCATGGGGGAGTGTTATATTCGAGAACATTGCTTACGTAGAGCTCATCTTGGGCGTATCTAGGGGGCTTGTAATCAAAGATCTGGCTGTTTTGCGATGTTATGCAGGTTCAATTGAGGCTTGTCGAAAGTTGGGGTTAGGTGAATGTTTACCCCCACGTGGCCGAGGCACGCTAGTCGGACCCCCGACCACAGACGTCACTTCGAAAACAGATCGACCTTTTCTCCAAACACACCCGCATAACCTATACACAATTTACGCGTCAGTCCCACTTTAGAATTAAGCTAGAATGGCATCGCAGGAAGAAACAGCGACGAAAGCAGAAGCATCTGCAATCGAAACCTCAACACCTGAGATCTTCCCCCCAGACGAGGAGAAAAAGCTACTCGACGAATCCAACACGGAGAAAGCTTCAGCGAACAAAACCTTCACATCCGGCGAATACAACGGCGCGATACAAGGCTACGAAAAAGCCCTAGCAGTCTGCCCCTCATACCTCGAATACGACATCGCCGTCCTCCGCTCCAACATCGCAGCCTGCCACCTCAAGCTCTCAGAATGGAAGCAAGCCGTAGAATCCGCGACACAAGCCCTCGAAGCATTAGATAGGATAGACCCACCAGCGCAAAAAGAGCCAGAAAACGATAGCGCGAACGCAACAACAGGCGGCGGCGCAATCGCCGAAATCTCCGACACAACCGAACTCTACCTCGACGCTCTCACGCGGACAAACCACACCATAAACGACGTCCACAAGCTCCGCACAAAAGCCCTCCTGCGTCGCGCAAAAGCCCGACACGAAGTCGGTGGCTGGGCCTCACTGCAAGGCTCCCTGGAAGACTACCAAGCCCTTTCGAAACCGCCCCACCAGCTCTCGAGCCTCGACAAACAAGCCGTACAAGCCGCGTTAAGGAAGCTACCAAGTGAGCTGGATGAAGCGAAGAATACAGAGATGGCGGATATGATGGGTAAGTTGAAACAGCTGGGCAATGGGATACTCAAGCCGTTTGGATTGAGTACGGAGAATTTTCAGTTTACGAAGGATGAGGGGAGTGGGGGGTATAGTATGAATTTTAATCAGGGGGGGAAGTAGATTCATGTTGAAATTATGTAGGTTGGGTGAGTGCGTTGAGAGCTGGGGCTCAGACGCGTAGACCAGATCGGATGAATAATGGACTAGATCCATGCAGTGTAGTTACGACCTGGATCATCATGTCAATACACTAACAGCCATGTTATTGTGACAAGGGGAGCAAACCCACCATGAACATCTGTCAAAACACGATATGCTCGCCCCTGATCATAGCTCCACCACTGTATATACCATTCTTGGGCTAACAACCCTAGCGTTAGCTCCACCCGCATATCATCAAGTCAAGATGGAAAAGACACATACCAGAATCATCACAAACCTGCCGGTAAAAATGCCCCACCATATCAGCTCGCCATTCCAGCGATTCTTGCAGTTTCACACGAACACGATGGCGCTGGTATACTTCCGGTGGGGGCTGATCGCCTTCTTGGTGTTGCTGACCAAATAGTCCTGCGATCTATGTTAGTTGACTTTGCTTTGGGGGTGTCTGTTCCGGGCGTTGTTACGCTGGCAGGTGTGGATGTCTTGTGGAGCTGGTATGTGATTAGACCTCAGAATGGTTTGTTGGACGATTCTCGCTGCTTACGCATGGGGAATGGCGTTGTTGGAAGGGGGTCGGAGATAGGGACAAGGATATCGAGATCTCCAGGGGATGGATTTTTTAGTATTTCGGCACGGCTGAAGGGACTCAGAAGGGTGAGTATGTATGCTAATTTGAACATCATCTTGCTTGATATACCGACGTAAAGACGCGGTTATTGGAAGTGTTACTCTTGGCTGGATGCTGTCAGAACCAGGACTTGGTGTTGATTGTGTGTGAGCTTGAAGCTGGCGACTACAGGAGCTCACCTGGGCATTATATCCGTCATGCTTTACAGTCTGAGGGCTGCTTGAATGTGGCGCGGTCATGTTGAATATTTCAGGCTACAGTACCGATGGAACATATTTAACAAGTCTGACTGTGAGGGCGTATGGCTGTCAAAGGGCTTCACCGGTCTGTCAAGCTGATGATTTGCGAAGCTGACGTGTGGTGCAGCAATGCCGGGAGAGATATACAGGCTTTTGCTGACAGACTTAGGCTCACCTCTGTACAATTCGTTTTCGTAGGCGGGCCGGTGCGTGTACCATACATATGAAACAGATTTCCAAATGCCATCAAGTCTTGCATCGGATTACCCTGCATTTTGCAATCTAGATCCAGTCATGAAACATGATTCGTATTCTTTTGTCATATACTCCATGATGTGATCATCAACCCGCACTGCGCACCAGACACGCTAGGATAGGACTCGGAAATACGCAAGCGACCTATAGATGCAACCTCTCTTCTCCATCTTTCAGTCAAGGTATCAGACTCCAACCCCTCTTGCCTCGAAGAGATTGAGGCAGAAACGCCGGTCACCATTCATGCGCGCCATGCCCACCCAATCAATCTCGTGCAGTCATACGCTTGTCGCAAGAAGATGGAGCAACTACGCCACTTCCTCAATCTTGGGCTTGTCGCCTGATGCGGCCGCCTCGGGGGTCTTGTCCTGGCTGGCCTTGTTCTCGTCGTCGTTCTCGAGTTCGGGCATGTCGTCGTCATCGTCGTCGCTGTCGTCTCCGCCCATGCCACCCATACCGGGCATGCCTCCCATTCCGCCGGCACCGCCCATACCCTGCATCATGCTGGCCATGTCCATGCCCTCCATTCCGGGCATACCGCCGCCGCCAGCGCCGAGCTTGCTGAAGTCGATGCCGCCGAAGCCACCGTCGCCACCGCCACCACCGGCCATTGGGTTCATCTGGTTCATGGACTCGTCCTCGGGTGCCTCGTCTTGCTCGTCCTCGTCGACCCACTGTAATGAGTTAGCGTACTGCTCTTGAATGTTCCGATATCGCTCAGCCTACCTTGTCGAAGTTGGTCTTCAGGAAGTGCATCTTCTTGGTGTCCTTGAGCAGGCGGGGCCAGAACTCCTCCTTCATCTCCTTCTTGCGCAGTACCATTGTGACATCGCGACCGCTGTGGCTTATCTTGGACTCCTTGGGGTCGATCTCGGCGAAGAACTCCAGGTCGATGGCGTATGTGCACTTCTTGGATGTTGAGGTACCCTTGAAGCTGAGTGACTGCTCCTTGAGGTCTAGCTTGAGATCTGACTCGGGTACATCGGCGGCGACGATGGTGAGGTACACGTAGTTCTTCTCCGGGTCATCGGCGGATGAGCGTTGCGCCCAAGTGACTGTCGCGCGTTAGCATCTGTCGAGTATAGTGGTTGCAGGCTCTGAAGATGGTATATATCGGTCGCGAAAGGCGGTGCAAGGCGCACGTGGAAATGAGGGCTGGGAGCGGACGAGCAGCCATGTGGTGCGCTCCGATAACATCTCAGAGCTTGCATAGCGGGCAAGGCTGCAGCTTACCTTCGGGAGTGACAGTGGACATGTTGAGGGTGGTAGTTGTCTGTTGATGTTTCTAATCGAGTTCGGAGGGTCGTGCAGGATGTGGGAGTGGTTTTACGGGGAGTGTGGTGTGTAGTTGTGGTGTAGTGTTTGTGTTGACGGAGCAGATTGAAGGTGGAAGAAATGCAGTATGTGGAGGGACTAGCGTGGAAAGCAATAGAAGCTCTATGGAAACTTGGAGTTGAGGGCCCCGGTTTTGGACGATCAATTACGGAAAGCAACTCGCAGGAATATGCAGCGGCAGATTCGATAGGTGTCTTAGATGCGCCTTGCTGTCTCTCCCAGTGCTGCGTCGAGGTAATGCTGGACTGGATGCTTGGGGCTAGTGGGTTGTTGCGACTGCCCCGCGAAAGAGCTCAACGTCACAATGGGCCCGAGCTCGATCCTGGAGCGGTTGCAAGGCACCCGAACAACGCCTCGGGACCCTTACACGTGCACTCCACCACAAATCACTGCGCCGTATTCTACCAACACACTTCCACCGCAACCAGATTAGACAAGTCGACGAGACGCGCTATCTGAACACCTTCACCGACACCCGCGTTATCCGCATCCACTTGCACATACATCACCTACCAAAAGCGTCAAGCAGTTCAATCGCGCAGCGCACACCACATTGAGCGCCCACCATGGAGACCATCAGAGGTCTCCTGTGGAAGCCCACACCGGAGGAACAAGTACCTACCCTCCCGCATCCCCTCCACTCCCCACCCACCTCTAACCCACCCCCAGAAGCGCAAATGCAACGCCCTCGTCCGGCAAAACGTCCGCAAACTCGACCGCGACATCCAACAACTCCGCGCAACAGAACAAAAAACCAAAACCCTCATCCAGCAATCCTCCAAACGCGCCGCCCGCAACCCATCCATGGCCAAGCAAGCCAACCAAGACGTCCGCATCTTCGCCCGCGAGCTAATCCGCGTCCGCAAGCAAAACAACCGCCTCATGACGTCCAAAGCGCAGCTCAACAGCGTGCAGATGCAAGTCAACGAAGCGTTTTCGGTGCGGAAAATAGAGGGCAGCATCAAGGCGAGCACGGGCATCATGAAAGATGTGAATAGCCTGGTTAGGTTACCCGAGCTGACGGGCACGATGCGCGAACTTAGCTCTGAGCTTATGAAGGCGGGGATTATTGAGGAGATGCTGGATGATACGCTGGGCGAGAATGAGATGCTGGAGGGTGAGGCGGATGAGGCGGAGGAGGAGGTGGATAAGGTGTTGAGTGAGGTGCTCAAGGATCGGTTGCCGCCGAGTAAGGCGAAGGAGGAGGAGTTGCCGGCTGCGCCGCAGGCCGAAGAGGAGGAGGAAGAGGATCAGGCGGAGATGTTGGCGCAGATGCGGGGACGGTTGGAGGCGCTCAAGAGCTGAGTGGGATGGGGTTGTATATACATGCATCTTTTGGGGTTTTAGACTAGACAG